TGGAGAACAGCCAAGGTGGTGCCAAACCTAAAGCTAGGGAAACCCATAATCTCCCCTAATTCATTTCGGCCAATTTCCCTAACCTCCCACCTATGTAAAACCCTAGAGTCTATAGTAAACAATAGGCTAAAACACCAAATTTTAACCCATAACCTAATCAAGCAGGACCAGAGCGGCTTCACTCCCAGTCGACAAACATTAGACCATATTTTACATTTGGAGCAAGATATAAAGGTAGCGCAGGCACACAACAAAAGCAGTACACGCTGGCTATTTTCATTGACTTTAGTAAAGCTTTCGATATGGTTTGGCACAATGGCCTCATCCCGAAACTCCAGAAAAATGCCATTCACGGAAGCATTCTAAATTTCATTCATGCTTTCCTTAACGGACAAATAATCATCAAATCATCTCCCCACACCGCCTCGGACCCTTATCCCCTAGAAAATGGAACACACGCACACGCACACCCAGGGAGCATATTATCCCAAACATTATTCAACTTTATGATAAATGACATATTTCCGGACAAGTGGCTAGAAATTTCTACTGCTACATTTGTTGACGATATTTCATTTTTGACATCCTCGACCACAATCAAATCCCAAAGACTGCTAAATTATATCTAAAACTGGGCCCTAAATGGGGGTTCCATATTAATGTAAGAAAGACCCCTGGGCATTTTATTCAAAAATCAAAGAATGCAAAATTATACACCCAAACTACGCCCTAATCACCAAGAAATCAAGTTCGAAAAGGAAGCAAAATGCCAAGGTGTACTTTCACCACCACATGACATGGACACCCAATATTAAACACTTGGTCAACTCCGGTCAAAACGATCTTAACCTGATGAGAGCTATCAGTGGTACTAACTGGGGTGCCAACAAGCAAACACTTCGTCGCCTGAAAACCAGAGCGTTCTAAGTCAACTTTTGACAAAATTAGAGTTAGTATGCTCAGGGTAGGTTTTAGAGCATAATTTATTACTCTAGCAACTGTTTACAGTGCTATCTAGCCTTGAAAGTGTTTTTTCAAACACAAACTTTGTTCTATCGCCATGAAAAATCAGTTGTTAATTTTCGAGTGTTCTAAGTTGTCAACTGACCAATGGGCAAGCACGGTTTGATCACGTGACATTGAGATTTACCAATTTTGAAGTGATTGTCATCATGGAAGTGGAACATTTTAACTGTTCTTATTTCTGCATTATTTAATTAAATATAGTCCTTATGAAAGTAAGACAGGTTAAAGCGACAAAAATACAACCTGGGCAAAAATAAATAACAATTAAATATCGATATAAATATAATAAAGCTGAGTTTTAGTTGTGTTTTTTTACATTTAGAACACTTTGGTTTTGAGAAAAATCACGATTTTCTTAGGTCGAGTGTTCTATCTCCAATCGTTTTTAGTGAATTTCTTATTTATTTCAATAGATTGAGCGTATAATTTGATATTTTCTGATACTGTTTTACATGTCACATGCATGCGCAAAATTTGAAAGAATATGATTGAAAAGTTTAGAAGATATTGTTGTCCTAAACTTCAAGATCAAATTTCTCGAAAATAGGTTTTTGTGACTTAGTACACTCTGGTTTTCAGGCGACGACTTATTAACATATATAAATCCCTCGTACAGTCGAAACTGGACTCCGCTGCTCCGGCCCTCCACTCCCTGTCCCCATGTAATCTACAAAAACTCAACTCTATACAATATAACGCCCTTAAACAAGCCCTAGTACTGGCACCTCCCACAACACTCTTCTCCTACTCGCAGGCATCCCTTCAATCAAAACACGAATAAACCAAACTGCACTCGATTACTGGGCTGGGGCCCAACACAACCCAATCTACAAATTAATCACAACCAAATACACAAACACCCAAAATCCCCATTAAAACTTTAAAACAACCCCACCAAAGCCCTTTTACTCACTCACCTCACAAGTCTGCTACATACACAACACCCAGCACACACCTCCCATAACAAGCTACATTCACGACAAACCCCCGCTCACCACATACACCACCCTTGCATGCACACGCCAAAATCTCCCTAAAACACGCATTCACACCAAAACAAACCTCACCCAAACCCATATAAGCTCAAACTACCCCAAACACACACACATACACAGATGCATCTATCGGCAGAAACATACAGGCATTGGCATACATGCCTACTTTTCACATGGTGAAGAACCAAATATACAAGGCCAGACGATCCATCTTCCCCACTATTCCCAAATGGAGGGAGGGCATCACCATCCCAGATGTGTATCGGAGGACAGACTCGGGAGAACAGTTCCTGGTGATCGATGATGGAGGCAGGGACAAGATACTGGGTTTCACCACCAGAACCAATCTGGAGCATCTCTGCACTGCCGAGGTTATATACGGAGATGGTACTTTCTATGTCTCACTCACTCACTCTTCTTGCAAGTGTACACCATCCATGTGAAGATTGCCGAACAAGACCAGGGTGCCTTCAGTCGGCTTAAAGACGCTGCAGCAGACCATGGCTTACAGTTGTCACCACATTCTATCCAGGTACTTATAGATATCATACATAATTAATTATCCAATTGCAAAATGTTATAATGTACATATTTAAAACTGTTATCGTACATTATTATTATTATTATTATATACATTTCATTGCAGATGGACTTTGAATCGGCAGCACAGACTGCAGCTTTGTCTGTGTTTCCCGATGCCGCCTGGAAAGGATGTTACTTTATTTTTGCCCAGTGTGTGTGGAGGAAAACAACGTCGGCCTCAGACAGATTACAAGAACGAGGATGCCACCCAGTTCATACGATGCTGTTCTGGCCTGCCTTTAGTTTCCAATGCAGATGTAAGTATATTTACTGTTTCATAAAAAAAGTATTTAGTCGTATGTTATATATAATATTATATCATACCCTAGAAACCAGTTTACATTTTCTAAATTTTATGTTTTTTTTTTTTCATTTTCTGTGGAAGAAGTCTGGCTCGAAATTCTAGCAGACTTGCCTCAGGACAACAGATGTCTGCAAGTCGCAGATTACATGACAGCAAACTGGGTTGAGGCTGACATCCAACAATGGAACCACAATGACACTGACGGGCCCAGGACAAAAAACAGCTTGGAGGGTTGGCATGGAAGGTTAAAGAAGATTGTTGGAAAGGCCCATCCCAACCTTTTCGAAATGCTGAAATTCTTGTTGGAGGAGCGAAAATTCAATTAACTGAAAATGCTTCACTACAGCGCAGGCCAGAGACTGCTCCCAAAGAAATATCAAGACCCCCCAGAGAAAACTCTCCACCCTGAAACAAACTTGCGGTTGGCAACATTGATATGTTGTATTGCTTAGATAGGGTCTCTCATGGAATGATGCTTGCTTAAATAATGTAACATGTGTAATATGTAGTGATATTGATAAAGTAATTACTTAACTATGTCAGAATTGAAATGTACATATGATAGGATATATATTTGTAATTCGTAATATTTTGTGCAATATTTGATATATTGATATTTCATATGAAATGTTTTTATCTTGTGATTGATAGTGGTAACACCAAATTTTGTCATGACATGTCAAATACCAGTTTAGGCTTATTTCATTTCTTTACCACTTCAACTTTTTATATGAACCTCGTGCCTGTAAAATCATAAAATGGCCTTTGTTCGACTTGAAGGTAATATCTCTCTCTCCTCCCTCCCCACCAAAAGCTCACTCTTATGTTTTTAGAATTCGGACGGTCAGTAAATACAATGCAACATGAGTCTGCAATCTAGCTGGTTGAGCTTTTTACAATTCGATATATATTTTTATACTATGTCTGATTGTATATTTTGTATGGTAATGTTCTATAGGCCTGTGGCCTCATTAAATACTGAAATAAACATACAAACATTAAAGCAGCGTAAACCTAAACTCATTATGGACTAGTGTAGAAATATTTTTGATAAAACGTAGTCGTAATGCTGAATATGAATTACATAGAGGATATTATATGAGTGCCCAGGTGGGTCCTCGGCGTGACGTGCGAACTCTTTAACCACTATGCTACCCCACCGCCCCTTTTGTTAGCATGACCTGACGCAACAGTGAGTAAGTGAATAACGCCGCTTTTAGCAATATTTCAGCAACATCATGACAGGGGACACCAGAAATGGGCTTCACACATTGTACCCATGTGGAGAATCGAACCCGGCTCTTCTGCGTGACGACCAACGCTTTAACCACTAGGCTACCCCCACCGCCCCGGAACAGTGAGTTTTTGAACATACACCAGATATATAAAGCACATGGCATTACAGATGCTATTTTATCAAATATCACAATATATTTAAACTAAAGAATAATAGGGAAAATGGTGCCATATCAATTGTCGATTTATGACGTGTGGTAAACAAACATGTTGTAAGACATGAAACACATTAAAAGATTGTTTGTTTGAAAAATATTTCGAAGCTAGATATGACTTTACCTGTATGGTTGTATATATAAAATGTTGTCTTTGCAGTTCTGGAGATCATTCACTGAAGATGTGCTTAAGAAACGTCCACATATCCTCATCGCAAGGTGTGTTGAAACTGACAAAACACTGAAAGAAAGACACACGGATTTCTGCATTAGAGAGTCCGTGTTTATCACTGATAGCTGATATCGACCGTAAATGGAAAAATGACCTGGAAGAAGTCACTGACCGATTGATGTGATCACAACTTAGACTGGATTAAACCCGTTCACACCATCCAGAATAGATCATACCTCTACCATCGTGATGAGGTCATCCAGGTCATATTTCGTAATTGATAAATCTGCTGATGGACCGTCTGCAGGCTTGCTTGATAAATGTTTCATTGCGGTGGATCCCAAATAAAATCAGGACAAAGCTAATTCACATACCTAGAGATGTAGAGCTAACTGACTAAAATCGTGCAATCATTACATTAATGCCATGTTCTAATTGATTTGTTTCTCTTATACAGACTCATGGAAAAATGATAACTACCACTTTAAGCATAATGGTGCCCAGGAACAACTGGGACCAGCGCCAAAGGTTCTTAAAGCAGTACTTTGTTGCTTTTAAAAGCGATGGCACCACAACCAAGGCTTTTAAGCGACAGGCATACAACTTGCTGGAGGGAGACGTGAAATATATCTTCGTTCACTACATAGGAAAACATACGGTAGCATCATCAGATCCTAAATACGAGAAACATTTGAATACTCCGGTCCCATATGGCTTTCAGACGATGAACAGTGACGTCAGAACAGCCAGTTTTGGAGATCAACAAGAGAGTGGAGAATTAAAGACATGCGATATGGAATTTGATCATGATCAACCAAACTCTCCTTTTGTCTTTTCTTCCCTGGATGAAGTTAGTTCCAGGAAAAGGACACACGAACCTGATGTTATGGAGAATGTGCATGTGAAAAGTCCTAGACGTTCAGTGGGCGAAGGACGAGTCATCGAAAGCACATTGCCGGACAACATCCCCGCTGAATGTGTTCGTTATCAGCATGATGAAAGACCGACCGGTCTTAGATCATTTACTGAAGATGTGTTTAAGAAACGTACACATATTCTCATCGCAAGGTGTGTGTTGAAACTGACAAAATACTGGAGGAAAGACACGCGACTTTCTGCATTAGAGAGTCCGTGTTTATCACTGATAGCTGACATAGACCATAAATGGAAAAATGACCTGGACGAAGTCAGTGACCGATTGATGTGGTCAAGACTTAGTCCGGGGGCTCTTGGCAATGACCAGTGCAAGGAGACCTATCGCAGACTTGTATCAGCTGTCATAGTAGGTGCATATCACATGAACTCGGACATTGTCCATTTTGTTGAGACCCTTCATTTGTACCCACCACATGTGACGGTTGACTGCACAGAGACGGAGGACAATGGTCCGGCAGATCCTCAGATGTGCAGTGTTGGGCCTCACAACATACGGAGCAAGCATCTCCTTGACCACACAGCATGGCTTGGCGATGAGGTAATGTGTACTGTTTCTCGTCTATGTCGCTTTCAATGACGTAGATCAATAAATAATGACAATACAACTGGCATTATTTACAATGACTCCAGCATATCTTTCTCAGGTCGGTAGGTCATGTCAAATTATCACATTACCAATCACATATTTAAAGACGAAAATGAGTGAGTGAGTCGCTCTTAGCAATATTCCAGCAATATCACTTCCGGGAACACCAGCAATGGGCTTTGTGCCCATGAGGGGAATCGAACCCGCGTCTTCGGCGTGACGAGCGAATGATTTAACCACTATGCTACCGAACACCCTAAAGCCCGAAAATGATAATTGTATCTCTTCCAAAGTAGCATATTACGTGTTCAACTGCTGACAAAACATTTGAAACAGGATGTATAATGCAATAATGCAGTAATGGGTTGATTATAGTATGTGAAGAAAGCGTCCTGTCAAGTAATTAGCTTTTTGCCTTCATTTTAGGTCATGAATGCCTACATGCTGGTTTTGAAGACTTCATGGAACAGAATACACATACGTCACTGTACAGTCATCGATTCGTTCATGGTCAATCGGTGGGAAAAAGAAGAGTATGGTGTGCATCCATGTAAGGTATGTACAAACAGAGAACATAATAATACTCACTTTGTATGAACGGGTGAGGAATCTGCTCGCATTGTTGTCTCTAAAGAGGATGTTATGTGTTGATTCTCGAGTTGAAACTTAAAAGTTAACCGGAATTCACACCTTAGAGAACCAGGTGTGACACCAACAAACACCAAAGAAATCTGCTACGGTTAACAATTGTATTCTAAATGTGACAGTTCACATAGCAATACAAAGGTTTAACTATAGCAGGACAATCTTGTGTAGAAGTACATATTCAGAGGCAAGTTACTAAAATATCGACGATTATAACAAAACAGGCAATGATGGTAGTTTTCGCCTCTCAGTCACACTAATCACACATGCGCTAGGGCTTGGCCAGATGTGATCATCTTCTGATGACATGAGATGCTTTGTGAGACACGAGGCAATAACCAGTTCCCTTATGTGCAGAGTAATCTGTATATGAGGAATATTCTGTGAAACAAGTGTTTGTGGCGCTCAGCAATATTCCAGCTATAAGGCGGCGATCCATAAATTAAAGCGTCTGAACCAGACAATCCAGTGATAAACAGCATGATCATTGATCAAATGGGATTCTATGACAAGTCAGCGTGCCTGATCGTGACCACCTTGATCCCTCTAGCTCCCTCTTACAAGAAGTTGCTCAAGACCAACTCTGTACCTTAGTGGTGTGGTGTATTTATACAATGTATATCAGGTGAAATACCGCTTCCTGAAAGATTGCTTTTTCATGCATGCTGAACCCCTGTAGTAACCATTCGGCTGGCACGCACACGCACACGCACTCACATAGTCACGCACGCACACTGACACACACACACACAGACATACGTACGTACATACTTACAGACAGACACACATACAGACAGACAACATATTCCTTTAACTAACATGCTCACAGTAGCACAGACAGCATAACGATACACGACCACATGACTATCTCTCTCACACACACACACACACACACGTATACATACATACAACATATTCCACACACATATACATATATATATATATATTTTTTTACTAGCATACTCACAGTATACGGGTAGCACTTACAGCATGACGATACACGACCACGTGACTAAAAGGTATACAATCCTATCTTCTGTGTCAAGATATAGTCAAACACTTCCGCATTGGGGAAATCCCCACATCACGTTATGACGACGCAAGCTTTTTCACTTTGGAAAACATGTTATTGATGTTCAGTCTTACAGTTGTATAACAAGCTTTGAAAAGTATTTTAATCATATCAAGGAGTATCGTAGTCATGTGGTGGTATCTATGGAAATGGTGTTGACAGACTAGAGCCACAATCACGAACTTTGTACTGTAAAGTTACTAGATCTTGTCCGGATAATTAGTTCAATGAGCTTTCTGAATACACACGTCCCCTTATCGTGATCGGTTTAACGCGCACGGTACTTGTCCACGGGGCCTGTACGTACGGTTTGTAAGAATAAATTTGCAACTGCATCAGAGCCATGTAGGACATGAAAACTGGCTATTTGGTTTGTGGAGGACATAAAGGTTTATTATTGCATTGTAAAGCTGAACATATCCATGCATTACATGGACTAGCTGCGTAGCAGCAAGAACTGTTGGAATTCTATGCCTATCGATATCCACAGGTAGTGGCGACTATACTACTGTCTCAGACTGTCACAACGGACAGGGATCCTCACGTGTGTTCCACCGTCTCACTTTATCGGTAAACCCAGACAGCATGGCTAATATTGTTCGTGTTAGTCAAGATTCCGACAGCAGGGATGTTCATATTCGCCCAGTGTGTCGTCTCTTAGAATCTCAGCGCATTGTGATTTCATTGTGCATTTATGTATACATGTACGATTTCCCTACCTGTTGCGTAGTGACAGCTGTTGTTTCTGTTTTAAAAACTGAAAGTTTACAACATTTTGATTTCAGAGGCCCCAAGGGATATTTTTTATCATGTGTGTTGATATGATCCTAGACAATGACCAAGACAGACAGAGGTACGCCCAATCTCATTTACAATCAAAGGTACGAGCTCACCATAATTCCCAATTTCTATGTGTGCATCTAAATATTTCTGCTATACAGTGTACTCCCTCTAAACCGACATCGCTCGGGGCCGGTAGAAAATGTCGGATTAGTGATATGTCGTTTAGGAGTTTTTAAGAAAAATTTATACTATACACAGACAAAATTAAACAACCACAGTGAAATGTATGTTTATAGCAACGTCTCTTAATATAAAATATTCACTATATAATAGCAAATGATACAATTTTTAATTATACTTAATGATGAATAAAGAAGTCAGTCATGGTGGTTTGGTGGGTGGTCAAAGTTTTTGGCTTTAGAGCACAGTGAGTGCCTTACACAACTTACTAACTCTTGTGCATTTATCCATGCGACAAAGAATCATAACGAACACCTAACATGTGATTTCACCAAGCTATCCATTAAACAAGTAATTAGCAAGGAAACTCAGTCAGTCAGTCAGAAATATTTTTTTTGGCATTCCGGCCGGAAAATCTTTTGTGTTGCTGCAAATCCTGAAATATTTTTTTTTTCGGCATTCCGGCCCGGAAATCTTTTGTGTTGCTGCAAATCCTGAAATATTTTTTTGGGGGTGCATTCCGGCCCGGAAATCTTTTGTGTTGCTGCAAATCCTGAATTTTTTTTTTTTTTCGGCATTCCGGCCCGGAAATCTTTTGTGTTGCTGCAAATCCTGAAATATTTTTTTTTCGGCATTCCGGCCCGGAAATCTTTTGTGTGGCTGCAAATCCTGAATTATTTTTTTTTTTCGGCATTCCGGCCCGGAAATCTTTTGTGTTGCTGCAAATCCTGAAATATTTTTTGGGGGGGACATTCCAGCCCGGAAATCTTTTGTGTTGCTGCAAATCCGGAAATATTTTTTTCTTACGGCATTCCGGCCCGGAAATCTTTTGTGTTGCTGCAAATCCGGAAATATGTTTTTTTCGGGGGCATTCCGCCCGGAAATCTTTTGTGTTGCTGCAAATCCGGAAATATTTTTTTTTTCCGGCATTCCGGACGGAAATCTTTTGTGTTACTGCAAATCAGGAAATATTTTGTTTTTTCGGCATTCCGGCCCGGAAATCTTTTGTGTTGCTGCAAATCCGGAAATATTTTTTTTTTTCGGCATTCCGGACGGAAATCTTTTGTGTTGCTGCAAATCCGGATTTTTTTTTTTTTCTCGGCATTCCGGACGGAAATCTTTTGTGCTGCTAAAAATCATTATTTTTTTGCATTCTGGCCGGACATCTTTTGTGCTGCTAAAAATCATGATTTTTTTTGCATTCCGGCCGGAAATCTTTTGTGTTGCTGCAAATCCGGAAATATTTTTTTTATTCATTCGGACGGAAATCTTTTGTGTTGCTGCAAATCCGGAATTTTTTTTCTCCGGCATTCGGTTGAAATCTTTTGTGCTGCTAAAAATCATTATTTTTGCATTCTGGCGGACATCTTTTGTGCTGCTAAAATCATGATTTTTGCATTCCAGCCGGAAAACACGACCAGCAAAAGCGACAAAAAAACACGACCAACGGCGTTTAAAAAAACCACGACCAGCGGCGACAAAAAAAACACGATAGCGACAGCGACAAAAAACACGATAGCGACAGCGACAAAAAACATCCACGACCATGGCGACAAAAAAACCACGACCACGAAAGCGACAAAACCACGACCACCCGGCGACAAAAACCGACCACCGACAGCGACAAAAACCGCGATAGCGACAGCGACAAAAAACCGACCCAGCGACAGCGACAAAAAAACACCGACCCGCGACAGCGACAAAAAAAACCACGACCAAGCGGCGCTTCTTTTGTCCCATATATCGAAACGCGGTTCCGCAGTATCGACATCGACAACATAAAAAATACATATACACTTGCACTTAGAAGAAAATAATTCCAAAAGTTTGAAATTTTGAATTTTGAAATTTTGACTCGAAAGGAGGGGAATCCCCTTACTCAGCTATATAAGCAAAGTCGAGTGTGTCACATTGCATTAGATGACTGGACGATACACGTGCATTCCACCTCGACAAGCACAAAAACATCATGGGTAATATACTCTTTTGCTGGTCAAGAACCCAATATCAGGTAGGTCAGGTGTGTTTGTGTGTGTCCCAACATTGCCCAACAAAGTGACAGCTTTTCTTTAACCTCCTGTATTTGGATTATCCATGCCCAAAGGAATACATTTCATTGTGTACGTTTTGGTTCCAGAAACTTTTCAACCACATTGCCTCCCACTGTGAGCACCAGTTGTCACATAGGGGTAAGTTCAATCATATTAATGGTTTCTAATAAATTAAAAAACGGATTGTTAGTGGTTTTTTTTATGTTTTATCGGGTCTAATCGTTCTATGTGTACTCCAAAATGTTTTTTTTGTACATTCCAGTATATTACTTACCTGCTCTACTTTTCTTTTGGCGCCCGTGAAGAGCCACCTCCTCGTGGTGGGGGTTGGGTAACGCTAAGGGCTCGGTGGACCCCCCGTTGTGGACACGGAGGTATATTTGGTCCACCAACCCGTTGCCGTGGGCTGCACCCTGTGTTCCTGGAGGACGGGAGTCTGGTGCTTGGGGGCACTGGGGGCCTTGAACCGTGTTCCTTTTGCCCAACACACCACTTTGCCCCTTACTTTACCTAGACGGGTGGTAGAACTGGCCCGGTTCTATCAATCGGCTGGTCACGCCGTGCCCTGCGCATGGAAAATATTACTACTGCAATTATTTTGATATTACTTCCAACCATTGCTTGTGACTTGTTTTTCACCATGAACTGTTCTGAGAGAATGTATTATGTTGGAACTCATCCTGCCTAGAGTCCTATGCCAGAAGGCAGTGGCTCATTGGCCAATCTGGCATTATTGACCCCCAGGTTCAAATTGTCATCAAATAACTGTACAGGGCAGAACCAACATGACCTTTCTTTCGTTTGTCCTCATTTGCTACCTGTGTTGATGTTGCTTGAGTATAACATCTCTGTAGCCCTAGTGTCTGCAGTCGGTTTCCACTGTAACACTGTCCTTGTTGACACTCGATGGTGGTTTGGGAGCAGGGATGTCGAATATGTTTTCTTTCATCATGGCTTCCCCATAAAACCACTGGTTCTCGTTACAAAAATAAAAGACGGCATATTGATGCAGATACTGTTTCATCCTCTGATGACGAAAGTTTTGTTTCAATTGTAGATTCATGGCCACGATTTCTGGTTGTTGAAAGTGATGACGGTCTCCCACTCAAGATCAACCCTTTCCGTTAGTGTCGAAAGTTGTGGAAGGAATATGTGGCACTGTGAACAATATCACTCGTCTTCGATCTGGCTCTCCTCATAGAATGTGCCAAGAGACAGCAATCTCAAAATCTGCTCAACGCACACCATTTTGCTGATACTGAGGTAGTTGTATCAGCACACAAATCCCTTAATTCATGCAGAGGCATTGTTCGAGATCGATCGAAATGCCTTTCTGACATGTCAGAAGAGGAGATTGCGATGGAACTGAAATCTCAGGGGGTGACTTCCGTGGAACGATTCACCAGAAAAGATAATGACCGAGTTATCAATACCAGTACTTATCTTATTACTTTTGCTCTTTCAAAACTGCCGACATCCATCAAAGCTGGATATTTTAACATCCGTGTGGATACATATATTCCTAATCCCTCCGTTGTTTTAGATGTCAACATTTTGGACATGTTGCTAAGTCCTGTAATAACTCACCAATTTGCTCTCGCTGTAGTGGCAAACATGAGAACACTGAATGCACAAATGCCATCAAATGTGCAAACTGCCATAGCGAGCATATGTCTTACTCCAGGTCATGTCCAGTATATGAGAAAGAATCTAAAATTACTAAAATCAAATATACAAACAATATTTCTTTCTCAGATGCCAAGAAATTGGTTGTGGATCAGTCGCAAAAAACTCTACCCAAATCATACTCTGTCGTTGTCTCTTCTTCTATCCAAAAGGTGGATAGTGAATGTCAGACTGCAATTAGTTGGGTCAAGGACCAGCAAACTATTTTGTACCCTCTCTCCGAGATGACTTTGCCAACAACAGAAACACAGACTGATCTGTCAGTCTGAAGATGACCCTACACCAGAATCTTTGCCAGAAATAACCACTTGGAAAAAACTATACCTAAAAGAGATGTTCTTTCTAAAACAGAAAGAAAACAGAAAAGAAAAGAAGCAAAGGCCCTCAAGGATATTGAGGTGTCTTTACCAAATCCTTTAGAGGTTCATAACAGCTTTGAACCTCTGGATATGGGAGACTCTCCATCGCTGACATTGCAGTGCAGAGAACCCTCCCCTCGTTCGCATTCCCCAATTCAACCTACATAAGTTACTCTGCCAGTTTATTACAATGAAATTGCAGAGGACTTCGGAATAATTATAATGACTATTAGTCCAGAATTACAAACCATCAGCATTTTGTTCTACAAGAAACTTTTCTCAAAACAACTGACACATTAGATTTAAGACAGTACGACTCCTATCATTGCTTTTCACCTGCAAGCTTCTGTTCTGGTGCGACAGGGTGTTATTCATAGTCCCATTTCTCTGAATACCCCTCATCAGGCTGTTACAGTACGTGTGACATTGAATATTGTTTTCACATTGTGTTCTATATACATTCCACCATCGTATTCTCTTCGACAGTCTGATCTTCAAGCACTTTATGTTCACAATGTTCACTGTATATGCAGGTTGGACACATGCTGACCAGACCCGTGAAGATCCGGGGTAGAATAGGTCTTCAGCAACCCATCTGCTTGCCATAAAAGGCGACTATGCTTGTCGTAAAAGGCGACTACCGGGATCGGGTGGTCAGTTTCACTGACTTGGTTGACACATATCATCGGTTCCAAATTGCGCAGATCGATGCTCATGCTGTTGATCACTTGATTGTCTGGTCCTGACTCGATTATTTACAGACCGCCGTCATATAGCTGGGATATTGCTGAGTGCGGCGTAAAATAAACTCACTCACTCACATGCTGACCAAATGGAAGGAGAGACCGGCAGATCCGCCACTGGCCTGGTCCTCGTCAGAGTACTGTGGAGATGCAATGGCAGATGTACGATAGAGTGGGGAGGACATTCTCAACATTCTTCAGTAATAGACGTCTAATTCTTCGTAGCCAAGCAACTTGGTATCTTTTCCAGAGGAAGCTATCCACTTTGAAATTTACTCAGATTACTGGACATGATGCCCAAAAGTGGAATCACGACTTAACTAAACACTGTTTTCATTACTTCTGCCTTTGGGGGCGCTCACGTAGTTGTACCAGTGACTAAGTGCTCAACCCATGTAAAGTAAGTGTATGCATTCTGTATAAAATGCATGTTTCACATGTCACTAGAATATATATTGAACCTAATCTACGATTCTGTCCTTACTGTCTTCTTGTATTTTTCGTGTTACATGTTATGCATTGTTTTGTGTAGCTCTAATTTTGTATTCCATTGTATTGTGCTGAATTTCATGCATATTATTGTATTTTGGTGTGTTGGTATTTGTTGCATTTTGCTGTGAGAGGCGTATGAGATTTTTTAGTTGTATGTGGTATGTACCAGTCAACGATCAGCAGCCAGTAATCGATAATACAACGCAGAGTTTGAGAGAGTGTCAAAGAAACATCGCAGTCAGGTGCCAAAACATGTATTGGTTGTGGATCAGTCGCAAAAACTCTACCCAAATCATACTCTGTCGTTGTCTCTTCTTCTATCCAAAAGGTGGATAGTGAATGTCAGACTGCAATTAGTTGGGTCAAGGACCAGCAAACTATTTTGTACCCTCTCTCCGAGATGACTTTGCCAACAACAGAAACACACACTGATCTGTCAGTCTGAAGATGACCCTACACCAGAATCTTTGCCAGAAATAACCACTTGGAAAAAACTATACCTAAAAGAGATGTTCTTTCTAAAACAGAAAGAAAAGAAAAGAAAAAGCAAAAAGGCCCTCAAGGATATTGAGGTGTCTTTACCAAATCCTTTAGAGGTTCATAACAGCTTTGAACCTCTGGATATGGGAGACTCTCCATCGCTGACATTGCAGTGCAGAGAACCCTCCCCTCGTTCGCATTCCCCAATTCAACCTACATAAGTTACTCTGCCAGTTTATTACAATGAAATTGCAGAGGACTTCGGAATAATTATAATGACTATTAGTCCAGAATTACAAACCATCAGCATTTTGTTCTACAAGAAACTTTTCTCAAAACAACTGACACATTAGATTTAAGACAGTACGACTCCTATCATTGCTTTTCACCTGCAAGCTTCTGTTCTGGTGCGACAGGGTGTTATTCATAGTCCCATTTCTCTGAATACCCCTCTTCAGGCTGTTGCAGTACGTGTGACACTGAATATTGTTTTCACATTGTGTTCTATATACATTCCACCATCGTATTCTCTTCGACAGTCTGATCTTCAAGCACTTTATGTTCACAATGTTCACTGTATATGCAGGTTGGACACATGCTGACCAGACCCGTGAAGATCCGGGGTAGAATAGGTCTTCAGCAACCCATCTGCTTGCCATAAAAGGCGACTATGCTTGTCGTAAAAGGCGACTACCGGGATCGGGTGGTCAGTTTCACTGACTTGGTTGACACATATCATCGGTTCCAAATTGCGCAGATCGATGCTCATGCTGTTGATCACTGGATTGTCTGGTCCTGACTCGATTATTTACAGACCGCCGTCATATAGCTGGGATATTGCTGAGTGCGGCGTAAAACTAAACTCACTCACTCACATGCTGACCAAATGGAAGGAGAAGACCGGCAGATCCGCCACTGGCCTGGTCCTCGTCAGAGTACTGTGGAGATGCAATGGCAGATGTACGATAGAGTGGGAGGACATTCTCAACATTCTTCAGTAATAGACGTCTAATTCTTCGTAGCCAAGCAACTTGGTATCTTTTTCAGAGGAAACTATCCCCTTTAAAATTACTCACATTCCTGGACATGATGCCCAAACGTGGAATCACGACTTAATTAAACACTGCTTTCAATGCTTGTGCTCTTGGTGATGCTCACGTATTTGTACCAGGACTCAGTGCTCAACCCATATAAAGTACGTGCATGCATTCAGTATAAAATGTATGTTTCACATGTCTCTGGAATTTATACTGAGCCTATGCTACGATTCTGTCCTTACTGTGTTGTTGTATTTTTCGTGTTACATGTTATGCATTGTTTTGTGTAGCTGTATTTTGTTATTCCATTGTATTGTGCTAGATTGCATGCATGTTATTCTATTTTGGTGTGTGATGTGTGTTGCATTTTGGTGTGTGAGGCGTATGAAATTGTTTAGTCGTATGTGGTGTGTATCAGTCAACGATCAGCACCCAGTAATCGATAATACAACCGGTGGTTTGGGAGAGTGTCAAAGAAACATCGCAGTCAGGTGCCAAATCATGTCGGGATTGGCTTGAGTCGGCTGGAATCGAACTTGGACTCAATGTCATGGTGATCGAAAAAGACAAAAATTCACACCCACATTCACTTTATATGTGGACCTTCTACATGCTTACTAAGTGGACAGGTGATGTACGTTTGAAATAGAGGGCATACTAAACACTCTACACTCACCATGGCCTTAGTGTGTCACATGTAGTTGGGCTAGTGCAACACTGTGGTCTCATAGCTCAATTGCTGTGATCATGTTCATTATTGCATTCATGTCTGATGCTTACCTATGTTTCAAGAATAAATATTGCTTCAACTAAACCTTTCTCGTTTATTTCATCATTGAACGTGGGTATGATATGTCTATGTTAGTCTCTGTGTATTTATTTAAGGTCCATCTGTCGTAGTTCCATCTGTCCCGGATGATGATCAAGAGATGTTCTAACATTATATCTACACGCCAGCGGCTGAAGGGATGATGTAATTCGAGCTAGGTTCCATGCAAGTAGCAAAGGCACTGTAAGTCCCCATGGTCCTTAGTATGGTGATCTACCTTCAGTTGTTAGCGATCTATAGCCCATTTTTACATTGTAATGTCTAAAAAGTGTTCTACTTTTAAAAATAATACCAGCTAGTTTTAAGTCTTTTTGTGATACTTTAGTTATTTTACAGTCCGTCGATGACTGGTTATTTACTTACTTGTATTTAAAGTGTATCTACACTTCTCGTCACTATATGGCTGAAATATTGCCGGGGTGACGTTAAATTTTAACTCACTCACTCACTTCAATAAAACATGCCAACTGGCAGAGGTCCCAAATGTCTTCCATCTCCTCCTGTCCGCTATGCTTTCACTGTTTACCAACGAGTTAACAGTAACTCATGTCGTGAGTTATGAGTCATGCTAAGAAATTGATACGAAATTCAATGTTCTTAGCATTTTGTTACTTATAAATTAAGACATTATCTTCCGCTGTAAATACGGTGGTAAATATCCATCATATGATACATTATTTCAAAACGTCGCCCTGTTTATGTCGGTAGAAAAGTTATCCTTGCCCGTGAATAGTTCTCCTTTTCTCCAACAATCACGGTACGGATGCAATTGCAATGTGCGGTGGTGGTTCGAGCTGACCACGTCAAACTATCAACGTTTCAGGAATTACCATCTCAATTCTAATAAATGCAGGGTAAGCAAAACAAATAATTATATAAAACATATTTTCAAACATCGGTACTACTGTCTATTATTTTTGTTTGAGTGGCCAGTCTAAGGTTTGCCAACATTATACACTAAAGTCGTTTAAAGCCCGCTCAATAATTGATCAGCTTAACTTAGTCATTGTAACCACACGTTCGCAAGGGTACAGGTTATGCATCTATGCTGCAAGTTTTAACCAAAGTGATGATTACTTGTAAACCTTTGGTTGGCTGAAATAAGTATCTGACAACAGAGTTGCCTCCCTTTGACCAGCTGTCGTAAGCGACGCATGCGTTATTCGAAATCGTCTCTTGTCTAGAGGTACCCTTGACATAAAATAGGATATTATTTGTCAATCACTATTTCAAGATTATCAAGTATTGGGTTACATTACTCGATCAAGAAAATAATGTTATACTACATAATGTCTGTCAGTATGAAAAATACATAGCGAACAAAGGTATTGATTGTGGGCTTTTCGAGTTAAAACTCTCCTCTTTAAATATGGATTTGGGTCGGTGTAGACCGATCAACGGGTTAACAGCATTCCTTCCTTTATTCAATCGTTCAAGCAAAGGTGTGTTGATATTAATAACCAGCGGTGGTTCTAAGGTTTAAATCAGTGCTCTAAATTATCTTTATATCGGTCAGTTAAAACTGCTGTGGTTTTTGAGAGTAATCTATCTAGTATGTCAATGAAAATCTATCGCTCTGCACTTTGTTTCCTCAGATGTTCTTATCACTGCTGAATGATTGAAATGGGGCTGACACTGGGGTTAAAAAGGGAGGAACGCCTATGTCCGCTATGTATTGTTCCAGCTGTAGAAAGAGAATTACATATTGTTCTACAGTGCCTATTTTATAACGAAATAAGACAATCATTATTACCAAGATATTATTGGAAATTTCCATAAGAACAGAAGCTATATTTACTTTTAACATCAGATAATGTATGGACCATTGAATGTCTAGGAAAGTACGTATTCCTTGCCATGAAAAACGTAAATCGTTTGTGTCACCAACTCAACCATGACTATTATTATACCACCTGTCAACTGTGCGGCGCTACATCAACATGTATACCTACTGTACAATGCACTGTATAATGGGCCTGTGGCCCCTCTACTGCAATAAAGTCATTCATTCACGGTAATGCCCAGGCAGATTGTGTAATGCTTCAGTATGACTTTCGATTACATGGAATTGAAATTAAACCTTAATTTGAGAACGGAAATAGGCAAGCATGGCTATTCAAGGCAACAAGGTCTCCAGGCAAAGGGTCTATCCACTACACCTCACAGGCGACGTTTTGCTGGGAGTTATATATCAATTATAATAGTTTTATAGCACAATATAAACGATATGATGTTTGATTTAAGTATATGATGTAAACAACATGTATGTGATGAAATATAAGCATATTTCTGAACCTGTTATCCCTCATGATGCAATTACTATTCAGCGTTCGATACGTGTTATACATTGTTCACAAGACAACCGAGATTTGTACGCAATCGCGTAAAAATAGTAGAAAATATAGTACGAATCTGACAGCGGCACAGAAAAGAGGTGATTTCAGCATTGAAATGCGAATGTTAACCCAGAAATAAGTTAAAACTAAACTGTGAAATTAGGAACTAATTTCAATGAATTTTTTACGCATTTTATTGAAACCCAGAGGTTACATTCACAGTCCCTATAAAATTAATGTGTAAATTTGTCACACTTGAATGTCCTGGACGAGGAACGTGATCCATTCTTAAATTCTTGTAAAATCTTGAACGTCTTTTCGAATTCTTTGAAATCAACACTTTGGTAAACTGATTAATTTTCAGAATATAGAACGTCAGTGCCCAGTCTTGAATACCTGCAGAAACAATTTCCGTTTGGTGTAAAGCTAACACCTGAGAAAACACGAAACACGTTTTCTGAACGTATAAACGAATATACACGATATCCAATGTAAGTAATAACATGATACATTGACACAAAGTCATTTTCCCAGCAGCAAAAGCATTACTTTTTTCTGTGGTGTTGCTGTTGTGGTCATTCAACTCAATACAAAATGTTTGGACATGTTTTGCTCTACTTTTACAAAACACTACAAAATTCATCTTCCAATTCCTTCAACACAGTCTAGAAGACCATCTAAAGTATAAAATAAACATATGTCCAACTTCATTGTTAAGCAAAACAACCCTTTACCGTAATTTACGACATCATGTAATTAACATGCTATTTAGTATTCAAATGTGAAGGTTTCTATTTACACTTGTTAACGATCAGATAAAGTAAAGGTACTTGCTTAAATAAAGTTTCATACACATTTCAAAGCTATGTACAAGATAGGAGAGCAATATTGTTTCCAATTGCAGAGTTTGTTATGTAAGTAATAACAAGATATAAAGTCACGGACCAATTAACACTAGCGTATGAAATGATCATTTTTCTATAGTAACCAGGCTAACATATGCTGAGATCGTATCCCGCTAGAAACCGGATTGTTCATCAGCCTATAGACCAACAATGTTTAAATGTGATTTCAGTGTTACCAGTGTTGTAACAACCTCTAGTATACAGTACATTCACAGTGCACTCAAAGGAACCAACCCATCCGGTGGATGACCAGATGCCGCGTGCCATGAACTATAAATAGCATCAAATATACTATTGCAACAGCATTCGTATAGTGCAAGGTTTGTTTCTGAAACTGATATACTTATCAAAACACTGAAGCTAAATCTACACATATCACACATAATCTCCCTGCTTTCTGCATGTCTACTTCGAAAGAGTGAGGTTGGATAGCCATGTAAAGCTGGCTACTATAAAAGCTGTTTGTGTCCCTACTTAAGAGCGGTTGCAGCAGTATGTCCTCCCCACTCTCTGTGTAGTAAGTGATGGTACAATCAGAAACACTGGTGGTATTTGAACCCGACAGTGGATCAATACATGACTCCTGGTCGGATCATGATTGGGGTTTCCTTGTATGGTTCCTGGTGTTTGACTGAAGGAACATATGTCTAGCTGTGCAGCCTCTGGATGTGGGCTGTTAGGATTCGCGTTTTCAGGATGGAGTTGCCTTGACTACAGGGTAATGCCTCTCTTGTACGAACCACTTTGCAAATCTTTGGTAAATATTTTTCCGTCTTGACTCGGATCTTAAGACCCCCGCAGCTCAACTTGTGTGCGATTTACAGGACAGTGTGGTGATGGTTGTGCCGGTATAAGAAGACCACTGGAAGTATAGCTTCCGTGTGGAACTGAACCAAGGTTCGGTGTTAGGTCATGTTATTTGCTGCCTCGGTTAAAGTCCAATGATGGGCCTTTGCTTTCTGTAAAGCAGTTTCTTCTTTAATATCCTTCTCATGAACATTAGCCCCGTTCTTCAACAGCACATTAGCAACAGCCCGGTGTCCCTGCAAAGCTGCAACATGCAGAGGTGTGCACCCATTATCTCGTTTCTCGTCCACATTTGCCTTGTTCTTCAATAACACCTCTACAACCTCTGTGTGTCCCTGCCAGACTGCATCATGTAGAGGTGTTTCGCAATCATCACTTTTCTCATCCACATTTGCCTTGTTCTTCAATAACACTTCTACAACCTTTGTGTGTCCCTGATAGGCTGCTCTATGTAGAGGTGTGCGACCATCATCGCGTTTCTCATCCACATTTGCCTTGTTTTTCAATAACACTTCTACAACCTCTGTATGTCCCTGCCAAGCTGCATCATGTAGAGGTGTGAGGCCATCAGAACGTTTCTCATCCACAATTGCCTTGTTCTTCAATAACATTTCTACAACATCTGTATGTCCCTTCCAGGATACTCTATGTAGAGGTGTGTCGCCATCATGACGTTTTTCATCCACATTTGCCTTGTTCTTCAATAACACTTCTACAACCTCTGTGTGTCCCTGCCAGGTTGCATCATGTAGAGGTTTGCTGCCATTAAGACGTTTCTTGTCCATATTTGCCTTGTTTTTCAATAACACTTCTACAATGTCTGTATGGCCCTGCCAAACTGTAACATGTAGAGGTGTGCGGCCATCATCGCGTTTCTCATCCACATTTGCCTTGTTCTTCAATAACACATCTAAAAACCTCTGTATGTCCCTGTCAAACTGCATCATGTAGAGGTGTGAGGCCATTGTTATCTGTCTCAGTTGTTCTTCCCTTGTTCTGTAATAACAGTTTAACAACTTATATATTCCCATATAAACATGCCAAATGAAACCCAGTTTCACCCCTCATGTTTCGCTTTCCAGTATCCACTGCTTCCTGCAACAAAATGCTTACAATCCCAACATTTCCTACTGCACATGCGTAATGTAAAGGTGTTGATCCTCCCGGTCCTATGATCTTTATGTTAGAATGTCCCATCTTTATAATTGTATTGATAATATTACTGCTCCTTTGGCACATAGATGCATAATGTACATGTGTTGCCTTTCTTGGCCTATTCCTGCTTATTGCCTTCGTTACTTGCAAGAGTCTGGAAGCCACTGCAGACAATCCACTCATACAGGCAATGTCAAGCAAGGAACTATTGTCAAACTTCACCCCTAGATCATCTACAACTTCCAATTCCAGTTTGATGATTAGAGGTCTTGGAAGATTGCGCAATGTCATACACAACGTATCCAGCTTACAATTACATTCAAAGCAAGTAATCGAAGTACTGAACTACTGGTCAATGCCTCTCCTTAACAAATTCTTTGAGTTGTCTGTAATGCTCGTCCAAAAACAGAAAGGACTGTCCATGCACAGTGTTATAACTGGACAATAATTTCAAGAGAGTAGAATTGTCCTTGTTCAGATTTTGCACCAGATTCTCAAAGACCATATCGACAAATGTCTGTTCCTGAAAGAGGGAATGCATACACACAAAAGCAAACTCTTTGCCCTGAATGGCTGCCACAAAACGTTGAGCTACAACAGGTACATCAACTTGCTTCAATTCAAGTTCGAAGGGGATATCTACTTCTTCCACCTCAGTGGATTCAGCTCTTGAACTCACATAACGAAATATTAACTCCAGGTCCATCTTTGCAATCAATTGTCTCAGATCGCTGGGCAGTATGTCTCAGCCTTATTGGTACGTTTTTGGTTTCTTAGTTTGTATGATCCAGTCTCCTGACCCTAGACAGCATCCTGACAATTGTTCCTAAATCATTTTGTATCATCTTCTTTGTGTATGTTTCTCTCCATTGATGTCGAAAATCGTGAACACCCAAGCAATATATCGCTTGTAGGTTTCTCTTTCCGCTCTAGTTCCTGTGTCAGAAACTGCCCATAGCAACCTCTTCTTCAGGTTATTCCCCGCCAAAGCAACAATTAACAAACATGCCATTAACTGCTTCTGTGACAGGTGTTCATGGAGACATGGGTATTCATCTGCATCTGAAAATATACATTACTGTTGTATGAGATGAGTGTATACAATACTGCATACATAGACATATTTAGAATAGAATATCACATTGAATCGCTATCTACAATTTTATAGAGAGTCAGTGAGTTAGTTTTACGCCGCGTTCAGCATTATTCCAGCTAAGTGGCGGCGGTCTGTAAATAATCGTGTCTGGTTCAGACAATCCAGTGATCAACAGCATGAACATCGATCTGTGCAAATGGGAACAGATGATATGTCAACCAAGTCAGCGAGCCTGACCTCCCGATCCCGTCAGACGCCTCTTACGACAAGCATGGGTTACTGAAGGCCAATATTCTAACCCGGATTTTCACGGGTCTACAATTTTATACCTACTGATGGTCGCAAGAACTTCACTATACCTACCTTTATCGGTGGCTATAGCACCGTCAGTTTCGACAAAAGTGTCATGATTTTGTGCAACTGTATGAATGACTTGACCCTCTTTTGTTGCCTTTGTATAGCTTCTTTCCATTATATCTCCTTCCGTCAGAGTTTCCGAATGTTGGGTATTGTCTGTGATATCGCCGTGTCCATCCACTGCCAAGGTGTGATTTCCCCCTCTCGGTATATCCTCCTTGGCATACTGTAGTATCCTCTGTAGTACATACAGCCTGTACTTCTCTGCGTGGTAGTTCCTCATGATTCCTGGAAACGTCTCCGCCAAAAGGGTATCAGCAGCCTGATGATATGAAGGTTATAGAATGTAAAAGGCTATTTATATACGTAGTAATTAAACACATCCGTAGGTTTTCACATCAAGATGCTATAAGGATTTCATAAGATCACATTTTGTTGGCGAGATCTCAACATGAATGAACAGTGTGTCAAAGATGATTTCCATGAACTCTCCCACAAACCTGATATGAGACATCTGCTACCTTGTCAATAGTGTCTGGAGCAGTGACACTTTAGGTGGGTCAGCCATTAGGCAGTCATTTGAAATAGGGCACATACAGCCAATGTTGGTATTACCGTTTCAACTGATGGTCATGAATTGATGATGGTTGATGGGAAATCGAGCATCTGTGGCATGACCGCAGCCATAGTACAAGTGATTCTGTATTCCCACAGTCGAACTAGGTAGCGCATGGCCTACATATGTATCTCCAAACCAACCTACCATGAAGACGAAGATCCCACAATTGTGTCCATCAGCCTGGTCTATCACTAGGTACTGTTTCTTCATCCACGGTTTGCTCATTTTCCCGGATGTAGATTTCTTTTCTATTCTTTCCAGAAATCTGTACAGATAAGTATATTCAACGGTAGTGTCACAACTTACAACTGTGTTATCACTTCCTGCTCGAGACTGTAAACGTGGTTTCTTAACAAAGGAGCCTGATGTTGAACCCAAATAGTCAATGTCATCATCATCACTTATGTTATCTATAGTCCTGCAGCGTTTCTGGTTTGTGTCATGATCCTTTCTTGTTTCATGGACAGATGTCAGCGACACAGCTCGTATTCTGGGCTTAGCATCATTCAATATAGCACTTGAAACCGTATTTAAATTTCCTTTTTTCCTCAAGTTCCTTTGGTAGTGAATGCCCTTCAAGCTCCAGGGTGGCATCGGTGTTTCCCGAAACATCCGACTGCATAGTTCCATTAGTTGACTCAGCTTTCATATATTTACGGGAACCATGGGAATGACGTGGTTGTCGACCACGCCCCTTACGTTGAGGAGCAGCTTGTGCCTGTGTGTGGTCCCCGATGTACTGCACAAGGACGTGTTTCTGGGCTGGTCGTACAGATAGGATGCTTCCTTACAAAAAGCCCTTGTTGTCATCTTGTCCTTGGTGTAAGCCTTGTGGTACTGCTTCACTATGAGTGGACTTGAGGCAGCCTGCTTCCGGGTTCCATCACTCCTGAAGTGATATCTGTCGTCCTTCCAGATATCTAAAATAGAATAGGACAACATAACATGAAAGACAGTAAGCATTGTTGCCATCCTTAAGATGGATAGTTCGTTATGCGTGTTAGTTTCAACTAAAGGGATGTGAATATTAAGAAACTGCAACCTGACTTCAGAATCAAAAAACCTCAATGAAAACTCAGCTTTGTTCGGCATAACTGAAGTTCACAGAAGTCAAAATTATTTGATGGTATTCTATTTTGTATCAAGCATTTTTATTTTGCATGGATGGTTGTTATAATGACTATAATGTCCTAGGTATTCGATTTCAAACCCCTTCACTGCCCTTTCTCCTTCCTCGAGATGATAAACAAAAGTACATTTTTGTTTAGGTTATATTTCAATCCAACAATTGCTTTCCTGTTATGGGCAATGGCGTACATTGAAGGGACTGCGCCAGTGAAAAGAACTAATGTACCGTTTCAAAAGAGGTGTAAATACTAATTGTACTATATTAGCTTGTGAATTATATCCCTACTTCAAATAACAATCATGTCTCCTTATATAGAGCGAAGAAACCTTACTTCAGGTAATGCCCTAAATCCGTGCTATAGCGTCTTTAGTCATGAATACAGTGGTTTATCAATACATAGAAACCAGGTCAGGGTGACCCCTGATGGCATGTTGGTGCATATGTGTGTTGTGTGTAAGGATATTCATGATATCTGTTTAACGAGCCTTGATATCAGATGGTATGAGAAGTCATATCACCTTCTGTCGACTAGTTAAAGTTGTGTCTATGCATCGATCCCTACCTCATTTTAACATTGAGTCTGAACAAAACTGCCTCATCCTCTCTAATACGCGAGGTTATCTTGTAGAGGTATACCTCCCCTCCCTGGGGTGTGGCGGGCGCTGTCTGGATGGCCTTGCTCTCATCTGGAATCCTCAGAATCTTTACAATCTCATCCACTTTTAAGGACTGATGTTCTCCTGTAAGGTAAGGCTCAGGTGGATCAGACGCCATTTGTAAAGATATAAATAGACATCGTAGGTGTCATGTAGTGTATCCCATCCGTGACACAAGCGTAATAGGTTTTTCTGTGCCAAGGCATCTTGACCTGAATCTGTAGTTGAAAGTGATATATGCCGCATTCTCCAATTGCTGACCTACACACAAGAAGTAATGTTCATGATTAAATTCCTTTCTTTCTTCTGTTACCCGTTGGTTGTATCATTGCTAGGCAGTTTAATTTGAGAGCTTGGTTTCGGTAGGCGATCTACTTCCCTGTTTGTGAACACCTCGCCACACCTATGTAACTCGAGTTATTGGGTTACATACATTCCCTGCTGTGAAATTCTGAATATTGTTACTAATTTTCTCCACCGCCTCCGTTGTTATGAAATGTCTTTTGTTTGTTGTAAATCAAAAAGATTTGATTTTTCTTCAATGTGCAAGACATGCACACAGGATGTATAGGCACAGCTAAAACATCCTATACATAGACTCAGTGAGTCCAGTCCTTGAGTCAGTACACCCTCATTTATTTGACAGCTGTTGTAATTTTACGAGAAGCGAATTTGAGGCGAGATGCCCTGTCAACGACAGAGACTGGTAGTGGTTAGGGATGGGATATACTCGACCTTGTTGTAAAGGTAACCATGCAGCAAAGACAGTGTGTGGATTTTACCGACTTTCACTGCTTTATTTAATTAAAGTGATGCTTTCGAAACTTCCAGACTATTCTGGAGACCCAGTCTGAATGAAATACCAAGCATACCAGTACCCTCAACTGAATCGTGACAGAAACAATGCTTTTGTTTGACAGCTGCTGCCTTAGTTTTGCGCGACGTGCAACTCCCCGGGGAGCATACAACTCTTGCAGCCCCTCGGTGCACCGAGTTATTGCGGTTTTCTCATCCTAACGAGGTACTCATTCACAGCTGGAGTGGACTGGGACACATAGTCACATTACTTTGTACAAGTTTACTGTACGTGCACGTTGCTGTATCATATATTATAGGATTAGTGGGTTCTTTTAAGAGCACAGTATTGTGTACTCTTCACTAGGGTTGTGACAACACTGAAAGAGTCTGCACACAAAGTTGACTCCAAGGCTCTTACACCCAGTCACAGGTGGGCTCGATCCCGACACCTTACGCTCGCTGGATCACAAGCCTGGCGCCTTAGCCAGCTCGCCCACCACGCCCCTAAGATGCCTTGTGATCGACATATGGATGTGATAGTTTACCCTCTCCAGTAACGCGACCAGATGAAGTGTTACAGATTTCATCCCTGTTACATGGTTATATACTCATGGCGCATAGAAATCCACACACACAGCGTATCCATATCTGTATCTAAACTGCCGTATCTTTCATAAAACTGGAAACGTTATTAGTATAGGGATGTTTCTCATTCCCCAAATCCCATGGCCACAATCCGGAGTGTTGACAGAGTGGCCTCCCTGCAAACGCATTCCTACAGTACTGACGACTGATAGTACATTGTCTACCCTGGTCCTTGTACAACTGTTAAACTTTCTTAACACATGTGAACACGATGTTCGAAAGGGATAGCTTGAGGCAATAGTGAGATGTATGATAACAGGAAATAAAGTGAAAGTCTGAATGCTATGGAAATGTCGTAGTTTGTGAATACCAGGCTGGCTTGTATATCACTTGACAATAACTAGAATGAGTTGCTTATACAGTTGTTTAATTGAACACTAATATATATATATGATTCAACACATATCTTGTTTGAACAATGTAGGTGTTTCCTTTCATTGATAGGGTACAATAACAACTCCATTTAGACAGTTGTCATTGTATTCTGTGTCTACATAAATATACATATAATACAATAATTGCTATAAATACGATGCATAAATTTACATGATATCTTAATCAGTCGGTATATTTTGATTAAACACATATGATACTCGTGATAGCAACATGTTATGTCATTCAATAAACCGGTGTCCTGCTTTTTAGCTGCTATACAAAGCTGAACACTTACATGGCCAAGTTGTATTTTCATTGTGTTACAAAAAATGCTTTATACCAGTCATATTACTGGGGACGTGACATAATCTCTTCCACACATTTAATCCGTCGTTTGCCTTCTGTTTGTAGGTAAGGGTCGGCATTCAGCAGAGATTTCATACGATTGTGGTTGATCACTTTCATCTGCACAAGCCTCACTCAGTCTTTGAGATATAGATAAAGATGACTTTCAATGCACAACGCGGTCACTCAAATAGTGGCAGGTCCGATAAACAATTACTTCAAATCAGAGTCGTCACAATGTGCTCATATTCCTGTGAACTATCAATATATGTTCTAAGTATGTACCTATTGACAAAGAAATCAAGTCACAGTCAAGTCACACTTGGTGAACACGTATTTTCATGGCAAGGAACTCTTTTTCTTCAAGTTGTATGACAACTCATATAGAATTTCCCTGATATGCCAATCCACACTGCTACTTATTTTCCTCTTTAGTTCATTACTATCAAGCACACTTTGGTCATAACATGCCTTGACGCATGTTAGGTCAATATGTAATAACGTTATCGGAGCAACCAAGTCAGTGTTCCTGTGTACAGTGAACAACCTGGAAATGACAACTTAACTCGAGTGATCCTTCTTTACTGCCTGTTACATTTACTTGTGTACACACGCCGGCGTGAACAGTCATCTAGCGATATGTTTATTTATAGCCTTGAGTGACATATGTCGGATTTTTTGGACTGGAGGTTGACATTGTGTGCATTTGTATTTGTGCACATCAGTACGTATTTCCTCTTCTGATGCTTCCCATGTTTTCAAAGCTCATTCAGCTTCTAAAATATATTTTTCTTCCTTCTCATAAGGCAACATCGTGAGTTCGTGAGTTCGTGCGTGCGTGCGTGCGTGAAAATTTAATGTCACATTGGTAGTATCTCAGCATATCATGACGTGAAGAATTTATACATCAACAAGCAGTACATTTAGATTTAAAACTGTCGACAATGGAGAGTAAAACATCTAGAATTCTACTGCAACGAGGCATGTCGGCCTGGGCCATGTCACTGAACAGTGCAACGCAAAATCGTATCTGAGGAGTGAACCGTCAATAGGACTGAGGAGTAACTGAATCTACACCTCTGGGTATTTTTCTATGACATGTTTCATATTCAATTTGTCAGCTAGATACTTATAAGTATATATATATCTATAGCCTTGACTAACATATGTCGGATTTTAGGACTAGGGTGATGATATTGTGTGCATTTGAATTTGTGGGCAACCATACGTTGTTAAAATACGTAATCAAGTTTTATAATAGTTCGTTTAGTTTCCAGATACAATAAACAACATATATACTTTCTTTTACCCCCTAAGTTAATGTTCCCTCTGTAAATATTGTTCCATAATGCATTATAAACCAGGTGCATTTGTTCATATTACGCCATTGTTAAATATATACACTACCACAGCTGAATGTGTAGTTCCGTTTAAGATGTTGCTGGCTACACTGCCACACAATGCAATCCGAGAATCCGGCCAACTGTGACAGTCTCGTCTCAAGCACGATCGCATTGTTAACAGTTGCGTAATACTTAGTCTGAAACATAAACATTATGAACAATTTGGGTGGACTGATGTCATGTGGCTGTTGCGCCAAGCATACCCAGCACCTAGCATACTCAGTTAAGGGTAGACCTTCTAACGTGATCATTGTGCGTTGTGGTATACTGTTTAGTGTAATGTACTCTCGTCATTCGTAGGCATCAACTACAGTGCTGATAATGTCACAGGAACCGAGGATGAAATATTTCTTGTGTTTAGGCGTTAACTACCCTCACTTCTTATAGGCATGGAAACTACC